GTAAGTATAACGCAGCATCTTTGTGTCAGATGTGTGTGGTGTTAAGTTCTTCGCCGCCGTCAGTTTTTATCAACACGTTCGATGTTAAGTAGACCGTAATAAGTGTAAAGTTGCTTAGTATTAGTTATTGAAATAAAAGGAATCTTAAACCACAATAAAACAAAGCTTTATCGAAGAAAGTAACAGTTTCTTTTAGTAATACAGTTATCATACGTGTATATTAGCATGTAATCATCTTTAATAAAATGCACTAGATACAAAAGTGTTAGGGAAAGGTGCAAAATGGAGAAAACACCAAGTAAGGAAGATGCCCTAATTCCACAAAGTTTTTTTTCGTTTTTAATTTTAACCGGTTGTACAGTTCGAACTTAAATCCAGCGCTTTTGTCGCCTTTAAAAATCCAAGACACTTTTGTCGCCCTTAAAAACCCAAGGCGCTTTTGTCGCGATACCAATAGTAATATGGTTTTAGTTTCAGATAATCTAAAACATTTTTTCCGTTTTAAGCAATTAATTAACTGATTAAGAGATCACCTACCCCTACCGCAAAGGGTTGTTATGTATTATATGCATAGGTACTCATACTATAAGAGAATATGTATGAGAAAAATTATTATTATCATAGAACTCTACAATAATTGTTTTAACTGATAAATCAATCCTTTTCAAAAGTACATAGAAACAACTGTACAGTTTTATGATCAAACTTTCTGATATATTATAAATCATTTTATTATTTATAAAAAAAATATGTTTGAGAAAAATTTATCGTAGAACTCTACCATTGTTTTAACTGATTGATCAGACTTTTTCAAAAGTACGTAGAAACTATAGTTTAATGTTAAAACTTTCTGATATCATTTTCTTCTTTAAAAAAGAAAGTTTCCGATAAAGTTGTAGTGTTAATTCCTTGATGCTAACAATCTAGTCACACTCAGATTAAAATATCGTTGAAATAGTGCGGCCAATTGGCTGTATAGTGCTATACAAAATGCATGCAGTATTTTAGTTAACATTTATTAGACCGTGATCTGATCATGTCCTGACCTATAAAGCAGGAAAGTTGGGTTTGTTTCTGATTAAAACTGCATATTTCCATTCCTTAAACATTACAAATAAACAGATAATTTTTATTTCAAATGGTAAAAGAATTTATTCAGTTTTTAATACTACCATCCACTACGAAGAAGGTGTTGCTAACATAGCAGCACAGTTAAATATGGGTTCAATCGACAAGAGTTATAGATTAAGTTGTTCGTAGTGGTAAAATGTACAAAAATCATGGCGGTATTCAATTTTTTTTCGGGTCAAATGGCCCAAATAGTTCGCAATATGTTCATTGCAATAACTCATTTATTTATAGTTTGGCTACAACACCTTTTGGGTCACCCCGTATTTCTATTTCAATAAAATACGTTTTTATAGTTTTAATCTTGTACGCTTAAGTCATAAGGTCGATCGTGCCGCAGTTTTTTGATAATTACCTAAAAAGCATCCCCTCATCCCTGTCGACTTGGGGTTGTGGGAGGTGTTAAAGGAAATTAATTACAATATTTATCAGTGAATTTAGACGTCGAACTTTGAAATACATGGCAACTATAAATTATTAGTAATCCCAGAATTATTTCATATATGATTCTATCGAAGATATGAAAGGGAGGAGGAGGGGGTAGTTTAAACCTTAAACATATTTTAAAAGTCTCCCCCCGCTCCTGTTAACGTAATCTTGCAATGGTTTGCAATTTTTAATTTTTCAAAGTGAAAAAAGTAGCTGAAGACCTGGTTTCTTATAGACATACGTATCATACTTATTGTATATTGATAGGCATGACGAATAGTGCTAAAAATTTTTCCAGGAAATCGGAGAGGTGTACGTTAATCTTTATCATTACAAAAAAAAAATTAAAAGAAGCACTAACCATTATATAATTTACTAGACGACTGTTCTACGATTATATATTTTTGTAATAATAAGGGATGATAAATTTTCTCCTGTTCAAAAGACCTCCTTTTGAGCCCGGAACAAACCCAAGTCGATTGAGGTGGTGGGGGATAGTTTTTAGATAATTACCCTTTTTTTAATTAACGTAGAATGTCGAAACCTTTGATATGTACGATAAATTTACTGTAGATGCTTTTTAATTATTATCAAGAGAGTTGATAGGTTGTTAACATTATATTTAGCCAACTCTGGCGGGCTACAACACGACAAGATTGAGGTACAATGTCCTATAGTGTTAATTAGGCGTTAGGAATTTAATAGGATTAGGTTTCATCAGGATAATAACTAATAGCGTCTCTACGCGCAACAAAAACCGCAGGCAAAAACTACTTTTGCAATTAATAGGTACAATACCAACTGCAAAATAACAAAACTGTTGAACACGTGTTATTAGATGCTATCGTCGAACAGTAGTTTGCTATTTTCTTGTTACAATTTCGCAATATGTACATAGTTCACAGGACATATTTCTGATTAATTGACATGCGACAGAAAACTTTCTGTGTAATCAAGCGGACAGTAGAGCATAGTAAGAGAAAAGTTATTTCTGTGCAATTTGATGACGCAATTTTGTTATTAGCAAACAATAATAAGTATAATACGAATCCATTTAACACAGCAGCAAGTATTACGAGTTACATGCCCAAGTGCTTAAGCTCAGCTGTATCAATAGAATTTCCATTAGGTAATGTTGCTCAAAACCTATTCAATTCAGTAGCAGACATTGCACAAAGTATATTTATGAATTACACGATGGCATGAGCAGTATATAATCGATAAATCGATATAATTAGTTAAAGAATTATAATATATATACTTATCAGTGGATGGGTAACATATGCATTCGTTTGAACAGAAAAAGAGAAATAAAAATGTACCCATTAATGGAAAATGACATCATCTACCTAACGTTACACGTTTATACCGTAATAAAAACAAGGCATTCCTCACTTAGTCCTACCCCGTTTTTCTGACTCTTTTGTTTATAGTTCCTTACAAGTTAATGTAAATCACATTTAAAAGAATTTTATTTTTTCTGTAACCACTGAATTATGTCTTTGTTAATAAATCGAGAATTGGAAATTTTTTCTGGTAATCTTGAATGATAACTCACAATACATAAATTATGTTGATAAATCAGATATAGAAGCAATTTTTCAAAAATCATATAAAAAGAGTTTTTTTATGCTTTCTGATATTTTAGCTGACTTGTTAACTGTATGGTAATACCCACTTTTCAGTACATAAAAATATCAAAAACTACATATGCTACAAACATATTTTTTGACAAAGTTCTTTACTATTCGATATATTAATTCTTTGAAACTACCATTAAACAGTGCGTTTTAGAAAATAGTACAAATGGCGCAGTAAACGCCATCTGTAGCACAATGCTACATTTTAGGATTACGTATGCTCCAACAATCCGATCCGCGTCTGGCAGTTTCGACAGAATACAGACCACTTCTAATTATTTTATTTGAACTAATTTAATATTACACTTCGTGTCACTAGTTCAAAAAAGATCAAAATCCGATCCGCGTCTGGCAGTTTCGACAGAATACAGACCACTTCGAATTATTTTATTTGAACTAATTTAATATTACACTTCGTGTCACTAGTTCAAAAGCACTACGTCGAGTTAGTTTTTAGTTGCCTCGATTAATAAATTTTTAACTCTGGCAGCTAATATTACAGCCTTATTAAAATTTAATCAATACTGTTCAAAACTATGCATGCTTCCCTTAACTGCAGCAAACTATTCCCGTCGAAACATATTCAAATAAACGGCTTGTTACTACATCTACTACAATATTTAGATTGCAAATATTTAAACACTTCAACGCAGAAAAATACTGTTTGAAGTAGCAATATAATTAGCGAGTAAATATTGAAAATTCAACATTGCATACTGGGTACTTGATGACAAATTATGTGCATACCTACATCATAACATTTTTACTTACACATTCCTACTAACAAATAAAATAATATTTTAATATTAATAATGCTGCTGTACGCATCTATAAAACTACCTATAAATTAGTGTTAATAAATTCCAGCATGAATTCATATAAAAGCCCTAAAACCCAAAATATTAAATATGCCTATTAGGAAAATCTGAAGCATTTTAAGGTTTTATCGGTTACTGAAATAAGTATAATCCTTATAATGTTTGTACATAGAACACCAGACTATGGTTACTACCATCCTGTACTCACTGACTTATTATAATAAATTAGTTCTTAGTAACTTCTTTGAATACATGATGTACGTCTCAAGCAATTACCTATACGACATAGGCGTCACCAAGGAGGAGCACGGGAGCTGCGTTTTAGAAATATTTAAATAAATAATAAAAAAATAAAATAAATAAAAAAAAATATGGGTAATAATATTATATGTCGAATGTGAACCCAATTTCATATATTATCAGTTGCTAGCAGTGACATTATATGTACCAATTTTCTTGTCTTTACTTCAGTTCTTAAGGAATACCCACTAGATGGCATGGCGATACACTGCCTCTGATTTTTACTATCGTTCGTGAC